ACAGCAACCTCAAAGTCTTAGGTTCAAGTTCACTTGCCTCAGCCTCCCAAGTAGCTGGGACTACAGGCACCCTCCACAATGCCTGGCTATTTATTTTGACTTTTTTTTTTTGCAGTTTTTGACCGGGGCTGGGTTTGAACCCGCTGCCTCTAGCATATGGGGCTGGTGCCCTATTCCTTTGAGCTACAGGCACTGCCCTGGCTATTTTTCTTTTTCTTTTTCTTTTTTTTTTTGCAGTTGTCATTGTTGTTCAGCTGGCCCGGGCCAACTTTGAACCAGCCCCATATGTGGCCAGCGCCCCAACCACTGAGCTATGGGCACCAGCCAACCTAAAGAAATACTGACAGGCAATGTATAAGTGTATAAAAGGTAGCTGTTACTCTTATATAAGTAATTTTTTAAATTCAGTTACCTAAAACAATCATGCATGGCTACATCTATCCCAAATTCACTGCGGGGACAGAAGAAAATGAAATGGGCAGGGGAGCCTGTACTTTACCCAACAAAGCTTCAATATACCAAAACCAGTACCAGTATTTTTGGCTGGGCACGGTGGCTCATGCCTGTAATCCTAGGACTCTGGGGAGACTGAGGCAGGTAGACTGCTTGAGATCAGGAGCTTGAGAACAGCCAGAGCAAGAGAGCGACCCCTTCTATACTAAAAATAAAAAAACTAGCTGGGTATTGTGGTGGGCTCCTGTAGTCCCAGCTATTCAGGAGGCTGAGGCAAGAGAATCACTTGAGCCCAAGAGTTTGAGGTTGCTATGAGCTATGACGCCACAGCATTCTACCCAGGGCAACTGAGATTCTTATCTCCAAAACCCTCCCAATATTCTTATATAAAATCATGAAAGATAAAGGAATCACTCAATGAGAGAGAATTTAAGAGTCTTACCTTATAGAGCTCACCCCATATTCTTTTGGATTGTCCTTTTTTATATATCTCTTCTTGGGCTTCATTTCTAAGTAAGAAAGCGCCCAAAATGAGCAACTGAAACACTGACAAGATTCAAAGGCTGCTTTAGGGAAAAATTAGGAAATTCTGACACATGCTGTAACATGGATGAACCCAAGGACATTAGGCTAAGTAGAATAACCAGACACAAAAGGACAATTACTGTTTGATTCCACTTAAGTGAGGGACCTAGACCAGTCACACTCAAAAGAAACATAAAGTAGAACAGTCGTTCCCAGGGGCTGAGGAGGAGAGGGGTAATGGAGAGTTAGTATTAAAGAGGAGCAGAGTTTCAGTGTGGGGTGAAAAATTTCTGATGGACATTGGTGATGGTTGCGCAATGTAAATGCACTTAGTGACACTGAATTGTACACTTAAAAATGGTTATAATCGGCTGAGAGTGGTGGCTCATGCCTGTAATCCTAGCACTCTTGTAGGCTAATGTGGGTGGACTGCTTGAACTGACAGGTTCCAGACCAGCCAGAGCAAGAGTGAGACCCTGTCTCTAAAAACAGCCAGGCATTGTGACAGGTACCTATAGTCTCAGCTACTCAGGAGGCTGAGGCAAGAGAATCACTTGAGCCCAAGAGTTTGAGGCTGCTGTGAGCTGTGATGCCACAGCACGCTACTGAGGATGACAAAGTAAGACTCTTTGTCTCACCAAAAAAAAATCATTACAACTGTAAATTTATGTATATAAATAAAAAAAATTTTTTTAAAGTGTGACTGTAATTAGACAATATTCACACAGAATTATAAAATGGAATTACTAGGACCTGAACCACAATCTACACTCTACAACTCTCATATAAAGCAAGTGATGGTTTATTTTATTTATTTATTTAATTTTAAAAGAGACAGCATCTCACTATGCTGCCCTTAGTAGGGTGCCATGGCGTCATAGTTCACAGCAACCTCACACTCTTGGGCTTAAGCTATTCTCTTCCCTCAGCCTCCCAAGTAGCCGGGACTACAGGTGCCTGCCACAACGCCCAGCTGTTTTTTTGTTGTTGTAGTTTTCATTATTGTTTTAGCTGGCCTAGTTTGAACCGCCGGGCTCAGTGTACGTGGCCAGGGCCCTATCCACTGAGCTATAAGCTGCCACCAAGTGATGTTTTTCTGATAGGGCTTCCTCTTTCTTTTTCGAGACACAGTCTCACTTTGTCACTTTGAGCATCATAGCTCACAGCAACCGCAAACTCTTGGGCGCAAGCTAGTTTTAGAGACAGGGTATCACCCTTGCTCAGGCTGGTCTTGAACTCCTGAGCCCAAGTGATCCACTCACCTCGGCTACCAGAGTGCAAGGATTATAGGAGTGAGCCACCATGCCTGGCCCTGGCTTTTTCTTTTTATTCAAAAAAAAAAAAAAATCATTTTTGGAGATAAGGTCTTGTTCTATCACTCAGGCTAGAGTGATAGAGACTTTAGTGATCACAACTCACTAAGATCTCAAATTCTTGGGCTCAAGCAATCCTCTTGCCTTGGTCTTCCAAGTAACTGGGACTATAGGGATGCACTACCAGATTCAATTACTTATTTTTAAATTTTTTTGTAGAGAAGGGCTCTTACTACATTGCCCAGGCTGGTCTTGAACTTCTGGCCTCAAGCGATCCTTTTACCTTGCCCTCCCAAAGTGGTGGCAATATAGCAAGACTTCATATCTATAAAACAAATTTTAAAAATTAGCCCAGTATGTTGGCAACCTAGCTCTAGAGGCTGATAGCCTTGCCTAAGCCCAGGCTCTGTCTCTTAAAAAATAAGAAAAGAAGAAATCTAGAGAGATATATCTCTATGAGAATAGGATGAAAGTTATGCATTCTTCCTCTCTTTCTCCCTAAAACAAAATACAAATAAATAAATAAATAAATAAATAAGAGAGCAACAAAATCCCACCACCTTCATGCATGTTCAAACTTCAAAGGCCATCCATGAATGAACTCCCCAGTAGTCCAGAGACATCTGGCTAAGGAAACCCTGATACTCACTGAGGTGTTAAAATGCTTAACGTATGTCATAAAGCTCAGTGCCTATAGCTTAGTGGCTAGAGCGCCAGCCTCATACACCAGAGCTGGTGGGTTTAAATCCAGTCCAGGTCTGCCAAATGACAACTACAACCAAAAAATAGCCAGGCATTGTGACAGGCCCCTATAGTTCCAGCTACTTGGGAGGCTGAGGCAAGAGAATCACTTAAGCTCAAGAGTTTGAAGTTGCTTGAGCTGTGACACCAGGGCACTCTTCCAAGGGCAACATAGTGAGACTACTATAGAAAAACAAAACAAGACAAAAACCACATATGTCATGGGATGAGTTATTTTCTTTTTGTTGCATCTTCCAACTTAACTATATTTTTCAATTAGTCTATGAAAATGACAAATTCTATGTTCTGATAGGATATACCGCTATCATACTGAAGAAAACGTCTCATCTATTTTTTTTTTTTTTTTGAGAGACAGTCTCACTTTGTCACCTTCAGTAGAGTGCTGTGGCTTCACAGCACACAGCAACCTCCAGTTCTTTGGCTTAGGCGATTCTCTTGCCTTTGCTTGCCAAGGAGCTGGGGCTGAGACTACAGGCGCCCACCACAATGCCCGGCTATTTTTTTTTGTAGCAGTTTGGCCGGTGCTAGGTTTGAACCCACTACCCTCAGTATATGGGGCTGGTGCCCT